CCCCGGCTGCCCCAAGCCCCAGCCAGCCTTCCCCAGCTGCCCTGAGCCCTGGCCCTCCTGCCCTAGCTTCTTTGAGCTCTGTCCGGCCTGCCCTGGCATTCTTAGCTCTGGTCACCCTGTCCCGGCTGCCTCGAGGCCCGTCTGGCCTGCCCCGGCTTCCCCGAGCCCTGGGTAGCTGGCTGCCCCAGGCCATGCTCCAGCCCAAGCCTCAGCCTGCTGGTCCAGCTTCGGGGGAGCAGCAGAGGGCGGGCGGGAAGAGGAACAGCTGGGTTGGGCCACGGGGGCAGAGCAGAAGGCAGGTCTGGGGCCTCCGGGCCCAGCGTGGGCAGGGCCGTGGCCTGCGCCTCCGGCCTGTTACACCCTCAGCAGCTCAGTGGCTATTTTCTGTTCCCGCAGATCTCCGGTGCCCGGCCTGCGGGCAGGCCTTTAAAGGGCAGCACTGCTATCTGGCCCACGTCCGTTTCCTCTGCGCCCTGGAGAAACACGCCCCGCCGGGGAGCAATCTCCCGGAGCAGAAGCGCCGAGCCCCCACCCTCCCCCGGCCTGGCCAGGGATCTGGAGGGGAAGCCAGCCCTGCGGCGAGACGAGCCCCACGGGCTGCCGGGGGAGAGGAGAGCGAAATCGGACGAGGCGGAGAGCCCCAGGAGCCGGAAAACGGTGCTGCTGGAGAAGACGAATAACCTGGGGGAAGCACCCAGCCACGGGGGCAAGGAGGAGGCGGCGGGGGAGCTCGCCGCGGCGGGCTCCGTCTGGAAGCTCAGTTCGGGGAAGCTGGCGGCGAAGAAGGAGGCCGGGGAGCACAAGCCGAGCGCTTTCACCGAGGTCAGGAGGCTGAAGGACCGGCTGAGGGGCGAGAGAGCGAAGGAGTTGGAGCCAGGGGGAGACCTGGGCTTGTGGGGCAAAGAACAGATGCCCAAGGGACTTCTCCTTCGTGTGGCCCGCCCGAGCCCGGGGGGAGCAGAAAAGCGCGTTCAGCAAGCCCACGAAGGGTCTGGCAGGCCGGGCTCTCGGGACTTCCTCTCATCCCACGACCGAGTCGTCATCCCCGCGGCGGCCATCACGTGCTACGGCAGCCTGGTGGATTCCAAGTTCTTGGTCAGGGGGTTGTGTAATTCTCAGGCCCTGCAGGCGAGCCTCAGCCGGGGCGACGCCGTCCCGTGTCCCTCAGACCCCTGGCCGAAACAACCCGGGGGGCAGTTGCAAACCCCCGCCCCTTCCTCCTCCTCCTCCTCGCTGCCACTGCTGCCGCCCACCTTCACCTCGTTCGGCGTGGCCGCCCAGAACTGGTGCGCCAAATGCAACCTCTCCTTCCGCATGACGTCCGACCTGGTCTTCCACATGCGGTCCCACCACAAGAAGGACTACGCCTCCCCGGAGTCGCAGTGCAAGCGGAGACGGGAGGAGAAGCTGACCTGTCCCATCTGCCACGAGTACTTTCGGGAACGGCACCATTTATCCCGACACATGACCTCTCATAATTAGAGCCGGGGACACGGATCTGACGGCGGGACCAACTGGCAGGAGGAGTGGGGGAGGGGAAACGTTAGTTTATATCATTATTTTCTGTGTTTAAATTGATTTCTTATAGGAAACAGCAGTTTACAATAATTTATAACTGACACTTCACGGAAAATATATGTTTACATGAGACCAAGCGGACAGTCAGTTTTGCAAATGCAGACAAGCCCTTGTTGGTATATTTTTGAGGAAATAAAATGGGGACATGAATTGAAATGTTTTATTTCAGTTTGGGATCAAAGCCAACAGTCTGTTGTAGCCGCATGCAAGAGGTGCTGTTATTTGCATATGTCACAATCAGAGCTGAGCAAATCATTGATTTTTTTTTTTATAATCAATTCGTTTTGCACCAAAACTTTGTTGTTGTTGTTTTTCTCTCCAGAACAAGATAATGAAACTGCTATCGTTGGGTGGAACAAAATGCTCTAACATTGGTTTGAAATGATGTTTTGACTTTGTTGGGAAAAGAAATTGTATTCGGCGGAAACTATGTATTCAATTCAACCCAAATTCGCCAAGCGTTTGGATTGTGTTGGAACTCCATTTTGGGGTGAATTTAGTATTTAACAAAAAACTTTCACCCAGTTCTAGGAGCAGGGACTGTTTGGGTGCCAGCAGGTTTGAACCTGGGTTTTTCAGTGTTAAACAGCTTCAGACTTTAATGCTTCAACTTAAGGACTTAGCTCCACTTGCTGGCAGATGTTGTAGACTCTTATCCTCTTATGTGGACCAGATTCTAAAGTGTGCCTTTCTAGCTTGTGCATACGCTAAAGAGAAGAGACATACGTGAAATGAAACCTCGCTGCTCCATGCCTGTGGGGCGGGGTTGTGAGCCAAACTCTGATCTAAGTTGTGTAAACAACCCTCTTGTGTAAGGAACCAAACCACACTCGCACGAGGGTGTGACTGAACGTGAGCAGATCTGGGTTCTGTTCCTACTCTGAAATGTCTTTCTTTAATCCAAGATCCAGATCTCTATGTTGTAGTCTGGGCTCCCTGTTACCGAACAGACCCAGGCCCAAATTCTGCCATCGGTGATACCCATGAAATCCCAGTAACGTTACTGGGTTTGTAGAGATGCAGTGGAGGCAGAATTCAGACCGTTGCTCACTCCTGGCCAGGGAGTGTGTGTCACGAATGCTGTCTGCTAGATGGAATCAGAGCTGCTCCGTCTGCTAGTGTCTCTTTGACCACGCCAGAAGGAAATAGAGAAATTGTCCTACAGGATCAGATGGCCGGGTTAAACTCCTAGGAACGGACAGTTGTGGAAAAACCTGCTGCGGGGGAAGTTTATTCCAGCCCCTGTCCGTTAGTGTTTGAGGAGCATCCAGTCTGCAGCTCTTTCTTGTGCTCCCCTTGCTTCTCGGCAGCTCGAGCAAATAGGGAGCAAGTTCTCAGTCGCTGAGGGCGCAACTGACGACGTCGGTCTGTGCCCACCAGGCTGGAGCATGTGACACTCGGTGGACCCGATTGGATTGTCAGCCAGACCAGTGTGTTCCCCTCAGGCTGGCGTGAAGGAGGAAAGGAGCAGGAGGAGAAAGGCTGGGAGTGAAGGCCTGCAGATCTGAGTTCTCCTGCTGGGTCTGCAGCTCCCTCCCCATGTGGCTCTGGGCCCTTTAAATCTCCGCCGGAGCACTGCTCCGCATGGCTTTGAGGGCTGGGGGGAGGTGCTCTGACCCAGGTGGCACTGAGGATTGATTGCCCTGTGTCCCCTCCCCTTTCCACCAGAGGCCCCGCCCTTTCTGAGGGCATGGAGAAGGAATCGGTCCCCCCACACCGTCACTATCCAGAGATTGAGACTGTCTTCACCTGTGGCAGCAAAGAACTATTAACTCAGGTGGCAGCTGTGCCTTGGTGGAAAACAGGATCCTAGCAGGGTGGTGAGCTGCTGACCGGTATTCCCAGCAAGCTGAGTGTTTGGGTGGCCGTGCAGGAGAGATTCCAGTGCCGCCCAGCTGATTAGCAGAGTGCCCCCTGCTGGATTTTTTTGTTTCTCTTGGTGGTGCACATTCACACACGCCTTGGTGCATGTAACAACATTTATTCTGCACACAACTGGAAAAATCCACCCATGGATGGAAAAGATTAGAGGGAACACTGGTGCTGATCCAGCATCATGCCAGAGCTCTGAGCCTCTTTGGCAGTGGGTAGCACAGGGGAGCCCAGAGAGGGGGGTAGGAGACTCAGACAGAGCTCTCTGAACCTGTGCTGATGGGCGGGGTGGTGGGAAGGTGGTAGGAGATCTCTGCTGTCTCCATGGACCTGGGGGACGCCTCCGAGTCCTCACTGTCAGCTCCCAGCCCAAGTACAGAGCTGGCACATGGCTGCGGGGTGAGAAACTGAGGCAAATCAGAGGCTGCTCTGGCAAACGTATCTGCAAGTATCTTGCTCAGGAACCTCTAGCCAGCCAATGGCAGAGATGGGGGTGGAGCCTGCATCTTCTTCCTCCAGCCCAGCATCCTGTCGACTACTCTAGGTCACCCAGCCATGTAAATCCCTCTCTCCAGCCAGGGCCCATAACGCAGCTCCTGTTGTATGCTCAGAGGGAATCCAGGGCCAGCATCCCCAAGCAGCGAGTCCAATGCACCTGAGAAAAGGGAAACCAACAGGTAGGAATTTCACTGTGTTAGAACACAGCCTCAGGGCACGGTGTTAACAATGACAATGACTTGGTTGGCAGAGGCAAGTCATGTTGAACACCCCATCAGCTGGTGCCTCTTAAGCCCAAGAGCTCCTGCAGCGTTTGACTAGCTGCCATGGTGTTAAACACAATGGTACCTGTGTCCATGAGTGTTAAATCCCGGCTCACATTGTGTAACGTAACACAACTCTTCAAGGTCATGTTCTAACACAACTTGACTTTCTAGCAAAGGCAAATCCAGTGGGATTCAGCAGAGCTGGGGAAGTTCTCCAACTAGATTCGCTTAGAAAACACAGCTTTTGTGTTTCTTTTCCCTGGCTGATCCCGATTTCTGTCACGTGCCTGTCAGTTGTAAATCATCGCCATGGACATCCTGAGAACAAATGTTAACATTTTCACTTTATTTGGTATTCCGGCTGTCACATAAGTCACATGGTAGAGTTTCTGGCCCCTGGCTGAATGACTGATTTTTTTTTTTTTAAACAGGAAAATAATAAATAGTCTGTAACAGCAAATACTCCCATTCACATTTGAGGACTTTTGTTCACATGCAAATACAGACTTGTGTTTAGGAAAACAAAAGAAGCCAAGTTAGGTCATTTAGACTGTAAAGGGGCTTTGACAAAACCTAGTATGGATACAAATATTTTCATGATGTTTTAAAATTACAGGTTGGATCTCTCTAATCCGGCACTCTCTGGTCTGGCAACATCCGTGGTCCGGCATGATTTTAGTTAGCCGGATGTCTACTTATCATGGGTGTGGCCAAGTTTCCCCTGGTCCCATAAAGTTTTTTACAGCCCCCAGGCCTGGCTCTCAGTCTGCTCGGGTGTGGCCAAGTTTCCCCTGGTCCCATAAAGTTTTGTACAGCCCCTAGGCCTGGCTCTCAGTCTGCTGTGCTGTGATTTAGCTTGAATTTACCCCTCCATGTTTTCTCAGAGCCCAGTAAGCAGTGGAAAGGCTGCTAGATCATATTGACCTCCCATGGTTTGGAAAATTCTCTGGTTCAGGACCAGTCCGCTCCCAAGGGTGCCAGGCTAGAGAGTTTCAAACGGTAATTCATTGGTACCTCTGGGCTTTGTCTGTAGTGTTCTTAATACTTGTTCTGTGCAAACTTTCATCCGCTTAAACAGCCCCTGCAGGGTTGAGAAACCCAGGCATGAAAATGAAAAGAAAGTGGAGTCTGAACAAAACAAATGACTCTGAAAAGGTGAAAGATATTCTTTGTGATCCGGTGTCGAAATCCCAGGATTGTGTTTTGGATTGAAAGCTGCACAGCGACTCCCACCCTACCCAACGTGTAACCGCGAGATGCGGCAGAAAGGCAACATTCCGCTCAACTTTTGCTGACCAGTTGCCAAACCTGGGGGCCGACGCTAGCTCATCAGCTTCGTTCTGAGCTTTCCCACGGGTCTATAGTGGAGCTAGGGCACACCCAGGTGGCAGGGAAAGGAGTGTATTTATAAAGCCCCATGCAGGCAGACACACAGCTAGACCAGAAGGTTCCTGAAGGTCAGAGATATCGTGAGTGGATCGGGGCCCACGTCAATTACCATATGTGAGTGTTCTGGGCTCGCTTGTCCCTTAGGTAACTCTGTGCCAAGAGGCGCATGGAGCTTTGCCTCCTCAGCATGAGCCTGGCAAGAGATTTGAGCTTCAACAAGGTAGGTTCTTTGCCCCTTTCCCCTGGTCTAGGCGGGGCCCAGTCTGCTCGTGGCCTTGA